AATTGATTATATTTACTATACCGAATAATTCTTGTTTAGATATTGATAGTGATAATGATGATATTGAAATAAAACAGGATCCGATAAATAAGTATTAGAGTACTTTGACCTATTTTACAAGCAAATTTACTTTTCTATACTCGTTTATACATTGATTAAACAAAAACTAATTTTTGATGGAAATCTCCAATATGATTCTATTTGGAAACTTTGAATCTATATCGCTATGGAATCTTAAAATTAAGGTATTGCCTAGAAGTAACCAAAGATTAATTTCGAAGAATGATCAATGTCATTTATTTTATGGTCGATTCATTCAAATTAAATCACATCCTCTATTACCACTTACGAACTGGATATAGCTCAATGTATAAATGAGTGTAAATTTTAACATCAATTGATAATTATTTTGAATTCTTTGATTTTACGAAGTAATCGAGATTAGATAATTATTTGTTAATATAATATTAAGGTTTGTTCTAACATATTGAAATTTTATTTTTATTTTATTACGTTTAAGTTTTAACTTCTTCAATTTTCTTTGAAATTTGGATGAGTTGTTATTTTATGTAATATTAATAGGCTATCAAAGATACCTGATGAGTCCCTTGAGAAAGGACGAAACGCGTCGTGTCGATCTTGATTTTCTTAAAAACTTAAATTTATAAAAATTTTCTTTGAATTTTTCTTTGAACTTTTCTTTGAATTTTTCTTCGAAATTATCTTTGAAATTTTTCAAACTTGAATAGGATTAAGCCATCTGATGAGATCCTTAAGCAAGGATGAAACCGGTCTTGGTAGCTATTCACACCCACACCCTTTATCGTGGTTGCTTATCTCACTCTCTACGAAAATATATACCAAATTTATCTTCCCATGTTGACTTTCATTATTTATTAAGTTATTTTAATCATTTGAAGACACAAATCATAAGACAAACTTCAGTCACACACAACCAAAAATCTTCCGGATCAATTCTTTTATTTTTTCTAAAAGTGTTCGAACAGAAGACATGATCGCTTCTTTGATTACAGAGCTTATTTCTTGTAAAAGCGACTTATATTTACTCCATGCAGGATCGTTCTCCGGTATTGAACTGTCTGGTCTCAATTTTGTTACTTCCTTTTCTTCTTCTTGAATATTAATTTTGTGTGTCGTCAAAACCTCTCGAATCGAATCCTTTAAATTCTTCTCCGCTTTATCTATTTCTCTCTCTGTAGCCGTTTTTGCCCTTGAATCACCATTACCCATTGTTGTAATATCTGAAATGCAATAAAGTGTCATAAACTAATATGTAGGCGAATAAAGAAAAAGAAAAGACAATGGAAATGCTAGAATAATGAGTTCTTTATAACTGTTAGTCTGTCTGAAGATATTCTTCAATTCTATCGAGATACGTGTCCCAACGTTTTAGTTGATAATTTATGTCTTTTTCAAGTTCGTCACGCACTGCTTTTCGATCGCAGTTGTGTGTCAGTGCATGCATCATTTGATGAATGAAAAGACGTTGACGATAAGATATGGTGGTCAATACTTCCTTGATATCATCCATAGTTCTTTTTACGACCATGAGCAAGCGTAGATAGGCTTGGTTTTCTGCACTATCGTCTACATTTGTTTTGCCTTTAGGTCTGCGAGCGAGTATTCGCTTTTGTATTTCATTAAGCTGCTTCTCTACTACTTTTCGAAATTCATCCATTTGCACAGCCAAACTACTTTCATGTTGTTCAACAGAATCCGTTTCACCAGGTTCCCGTTTCGCGAGAGGTAAAATCAATGATCTTAATCTTTGTTTTAGTTCAACTTCGACTGTCAACGTCTCGGTTCTCTAAAATTAATTGGACAATACCGTGAAGTATATTAATTGATTGTCTTCTATCTTACTTGCGATGATGAGCCATTATTGGATGTCTGCAAAAAAACAGAAGATAATTTCATCTTTATGCTACGTGTGATTAACTTAGGAGGACTACATTATACATCGTGGTGTCCTAAAAACTGCTATCGAGAACTTTTTTTTTGAAATAATTCTTTTCGAATCCTGACAAGCATTGCAAAGTATGTCAGTTGAAGACAAAATAGTTTAACTGAACGCCATCGTCCATTTGTTTCTCCAAAACTCGCTCATCAGATAGTTTCTTTATATGTAAAGCTTTCCAATTACAATTTTTGTTTTCAGAATTTAAAATTCAACTTACGTTCGATGCAGCCATATCTTTATGTGATGCGATTGTAAATATAATGTGAAATTACCAAATCCAGAAACCGATCGAAAAATCACTAAAAAAAAAGTCGTACTAGACAACAGATATATTGAAATTCAAACTAGATTGAAAATTAACATTCTACTTTCTCATTTTAAGATATAATATCAACCTTGCTAGATTCATATTACTTCTATTCGGAAGGCATAATGAAAAATCCGGTGTATGAAATTCTTTGTTTTTTACGTAGACAAAGTATGCTATATAAAGCTACTCGAGCCTATTTTAATTTTAGTTAAAAGCAGATATAGTGGTGTCCTTTACAGACAACATTCATTAATTTTATCCGAATCATTGGGACTCATTATTAGTCACATAGTTTTTGTATTACTAGGTTGAGCTAGAAGTTCATGGCCGATTGCAAAAACATTCAAGTTTTCAAGTTAATTTTTCAAGTGTTTTGTTTTATTTTTGTGATGGATTGATGATATAGTCACATGCAGTCACATGATCATCCATGTGACTCATCAATATGACTGGCCATTGTTTAGCCAATGGACATTCTAGAATATTCTATGTTGTGTTCCGAATCAGGCTTACAGTCCCGGTCATGCTTTTTCTGATTATGAATTGTTTAATTCGATGGAGCACCTTTCGCGAGGACGGCTATCTGAAACTTTTGATCAAGTTGAAGCAGTGTGCCATGGATTCTTTGAGTGCAAGGAGCCACATTGGTATCGAGATTAGATTCGACAATTTGCAGAACGTTGATGTAAGGTCATTGAGAATGATGGATTATACTTTGAAGAATAATTGTTATCGGTTGTGAATAAATTTATGCATAAAAACGAAATCTTGTGCAAATAACCGTGAACTTTTTGCTCAACCTAGTACAAGCGAAGGCCTACTGATTATTCAGTAGCATTGATTGTTGATTATTTTGAAAAACTAAAAATTTATTGAATTATTATTTGTGGTTTGAATAAAGACTATATATTGTACATCAAACTTCTCTCAAATAAAATGAAAACTTCATAAGATATGAAAGGCAATAGTTTTAGTGGAACGTCTACTACTTCTCACCTATTATTTAGAATAACAAATTAAGATAAAAGTTGCGCTGTGAAATTCTTGTGCGAATATATAACAAGAGAGACACATGCAATAGCATAAACCCTATGAGTTTCAATACATCATAGGAGCATCTAGACTTTTACGCATGATAATAACTATAATTAAATCTTACTTAATAGAAAAAATCCTTTCGTTGCAATATTTTCAACTTTCAAAAAATGAAGAAAAATTTATTTGAAACGTGTTTTAACAATATATTTAGGCTAAAACGAGGTTGAGATTTCTCGATTGTCCAGCTTACCAGAAAAAAATGTTGGGTTATTATTTAAAAAGGAAAAGAAAAAAGTGAAGGCATGCACATCAGACGCAACATTAAATAGTAGCTTGAAAACAAAACAATCAGTGTTAGTAGGAAGAACGAAAAGCAATAGTTTCCAACTATTCATAATTCTGTTTTTTTTTATACGAAATATCAACAATCGATATTTTGCATTGTCTAAATATAGAATATCTCGATTATAAAAAAAATCTTTTAGGTCATTATTAAACAGAAACATGTTCTCAAAGAAAAGATAATCTTTATTAAGAAGAAATGAACGAGAATAATTGTATATTATTTGTGAAGTCTGGTTATAAATTTTATTTTTTCATTAAAAACAAATATGTTGTCCACTTGGAACGTAATCGCATTGTATCGAATCACGATGCGATTTCTTAAGGTTTCATTCGAAATCATTGATAGTCTTAAAAGCACTCTAAAGGTCCCGCATTTCACTGCGAAAACTAAATTTGAATTCCACAGTAAAAAAAAAGATTTTCAGTTAAAGGTTTGATAGAATTGAAAATTGATTTTCTTTAGTGTGTACGTCATTCTTCATACAATAAAAGTTCTTCATTATTTCAAATATAAAAGTATAAAACAGAAAAACCAGGAATGTGTACTAAAAATGTTACTAAATTACTTTAAATTTAACGAAGAATAACTTCACTCTCAAGATAGTTCCAATTATGTGTAGAGAAGAATTATATTTCAATCTCAAACAAATTCATTTTTCACTCTTTTCTATGTTACTTTAAACCATGATTTAAATGAACGATATTTAAAAAATCTAGATTTCCTTTGCTTCTCGGTTTTGCTCTCAAAATTTTATGAAACTTTATTCATTTTAATTTTAGTTTTTCTTTCTTGCAACTTAATTTATTCGAAAGAAAAAGAAAAAGAACATTGCTCAATCTTGTCACACTAAAATGACATTGAAGACATATGCAGCTACATATTCAGTACGAAAAAAGCCATACAACGAAAGAAAAGGTAAGCATCATCGTTGTTTTGAAATTTCGATTTTGTCAGAGAAAAGAAAATTTTAATTTCTCCTATAGGTATATTTAAAATTTGCTTCCTCGATGCATGCCATTAAAGCTTTCATGTTTGAATTTTTGCTATAAGACAAAATCAAAGTATGTTTCACATTCACGACAGAATTAATATAATATGATAATAGATCTCATAGCGTACATTTAAATACATATCAACCCTTACTATTTTACTGCCTGTTGCATTTATCTATCAGATTATTCTATCTCAAACACTATGGAACAACGCTTCTATAAATTACTTGATAAGCATATCTTAAATTTAAATCAAAAATTTCAAAATAAATTTTCTGTAAGGCAATCATTGTATGATGATATAGTGTTAGCTCTTCAAGACGGTTGGGGAGATTCTCAATTCAAATATTGGGTTC